TCTGTCTTATGATTGCTATTTTAACTATTTAAATTCTCTCTTTGAGTAAGATCAGAGCACAAGATAATTATTGACTCAATTATTGCTACAGACACTCACACAATAGTCAAGTCATTAAACACAGGTTCATTTTACATTTAAAAACGTCAAATTGTTTTACTATTACTATTCTCTCTATATATATATAATATGTATTATATGTATGCATGCACATAAGTATTTTCATTTACATTCTATTTTCTCCTCTCTATTTTAATATTATTGAAGACTATGTGCTATTTCTTTGCGTGAAAAGGAGCTGTGTACATTTGAGTAAAATAATTTAATTTTTCCTTTGAAAAACTGCATTATATGATAATGTTTAAATAAGTTTTCTTTGTTGTCTGTGAAATATTGATACTTCTATTTATGAGCCAAAAAGTTACATATCTAGAAAGTTCTATTTCTGCAGTCTAGGTTTTGAAAAATAAAATAAGAACACATAGCTTTATTCTCTCAGTCTTTCTCAAACAATGCATGGCTGCTACACACAAAGTCTCTTTGCAAATGACTCCGAGGTTTTATTCTGATATAAACACATGCACAATAATGAGCATTTGAGTGAGAAAGCTAAAGTGAAACTTAAATATAAATGGACTTTAAAATGCTATGTTTGAAAGCTAAAGTATTTATCTACTAATAAATTATCACTTTGCCCATATTGTTTTTCTAAATGGCTTAATAACTTGTTCTATATTTGATGTGTACTAATAAGCTTTGACAATACTAATGATGTATTTTATATAATGTTACAGAAAATCTCTTAAATGTCACTTCATACTCTCAAGTCAGCTAAACAGGAACAAAATATTAGATGTTCTTGGTTTCTGGAATAACAAGAAAATGTTCATTTCATTGACTTTTTGTTACTTATTTCCTTGAAAGATATAATAACTAATTCAGTCAGAAAGACATAAATGATAGAAATGATATCAATGGCATAAAGGGTCAAATTAAGGATTTTCTTGTGGTACTACATCCCCTCTTCCTGGATTCCTTTTGTTCTTTAATTGGGAGTAACATCATTGTTCTGGTTCAAGTTTATGACTCGTTGAAAACAAAATGTGATGCCATCCTGAAGACGTGTAGTCTTTCTCATTCACCTCCCACATACAGTTGTAAGATTCATGCATGCAGATACATCTCCCAGCACGTGTCTCATGTAATATAGAGGATGGGGAAGCGACAGACAGATAACAAGACACTGAGGCTCAACAATAAACATACCATTCCTGTCACATTAAATCAATGTTTTCCATCCTTCCAAACACCACATCACAAGAAGCTTACTTCCAGCCATTTGCAGTTCACTCTTTCTTTGTAGTAGTGATATCAGTTTACTGTATGGCAGACCTGAAAATTCACTTGGTTCCCAGGGAAATCAAAGGAAGCCCAGGTTAAGTATATATTTGAATAGAACTCTAATCTACAACATAATTACCTGATTAGAGCCCAACTAAGTCAATATCATTAGCATGGTAAAATATTAGATTTCGTTCGTGGAAGAACAGCTGACACATCTGAGCATTGGTAACACATGTGTACATTACGCACATGTCCCATAAGCTACTCTTCAGGCCAATAATGAACTTTAAATTTTAAAGTTATCTTCAGAGAAAGGCTTTGAGACCTCTAAGGGTGTGAACAAAAAGAAGAAAGCGACAGTAGCTTCCAGTTCCTTTCTTTTTTTCTTTTTCTAGAAGGCTTTAGCTCCATTGTAAAGGCAGAGACAAAAGCCCAGAGGTGGATTTTCAGTAACATTAGCAGTTAAAACAGGTTCTTAATGTGCTCACAGAACTTGGAGGTGTGGACAGAATAAAATAGATCCCTAATAATAATTCAAAACGGTGAAAGCAGTTCTACAATGTGAGTATGTCTTGCTGTGTGTGTGTATCTGTGTGTTTGAGTGTGTGTCATTGTGAAAGGAGAAAGTCTCCCAAAACCAGAGACCACTGATGGATACCCCAAAGGTTCCCATGCCTTCATGTGAACCAATGCTCCTGACTTTCCAAGGTCATAAGTCACCTTTGGAGGCTATTTCTAACACAGCTGGGCCCTATCTTTTTCCTTTCCATCCCTGATCTGGGAGACTTCAGAGAGGGTTTTACTATGATAGAGGACTGTGAGTTCTGGAAAAGCCAGCTAGGTCGTCTCAGGTCTAACTTTTAGGAGGAAAATGATAGGAATCCAAGGCACTCTTGGAGCTCCAGTTTTTCTGTCCAGAAAAACTGACACAAAACTAAATTTACCCCCTTGTTATAATTAAATGGCACAGTACCTTGGTCCTTTTCTGGATATAAACCACCGCACACAGATGTGGAGTTAGGCTGCCTTGTGAGAAGCACAGACATCCTGGTGATTTTCTCTTAGTGTGTTGTTAGTCTGAAAGTATCTGCTATTATTTTCTCTTTTAACCAAAGGCACCAGGGTTTAAAGATATCCCCGTGGAGTTACAATTATGTCATATTAGGAAAAATATTATGTAATTGTCACTATAGTCTATCCAGCTAGCTGAGTTTTGTGGTTCACTGTAAAAAATGCATTATTGGCAGTAACAACAAAAAAAGAAATCAATAAACTACTGATTCATGCAACAACATGGGTTAACTAACACATGCTGACTGACATAAACAAAGGTCATATTCCATGAGTGTACATAGAATAGAACAGAACCATAAACATAGTTCAAAATGATGAAAATTATTTTACAATTTTTCTTTTATTTTTTCATTTTTTGAGATTTCACACAGGTCAGCCAAATGGCCACATCATGTAACTGAAGATCTTGGAACCTGGACAATGTTTAAGGCAGGAACCACACCTTGACCAATACTTCTTAGTTTTTCATATTTCCTTAAGAAGGGTACACAGAAACTTCTAAGTGATGACATAGTCTCTCTTCAAATTTGTGTGAGTTACACCATCACATACGTTTTTCAAAACTGGCAGAAACTTAAAATCTGGGCAGTTCACCTATGAACGATATCTCAATATAGAGTATCACCAGCTGCCACTTTGGGTATTTCAATTGTACTCATATCTATGGATGTGTGCTGGAATGTTCACAGATGGAAAAATGTGTGAACTTAAACATCAATAGTAAGAAGAACTGTTAGTGACAGCGTGGCCACACTGATGGCACAAAATCATTCTTGGACAATTGTAGAAGCTGGTGATCTCCATGTGGACGTCTTAGTCTCAACACTTCATGCATGTTTAAATATTTTGCATAACACAATTTCAGAGAACAGGCATCATCACAGTTCAGTTTCCCTTTTAAAAAAGGAAAAATAGAACCTAAGTTGATCAAGTTCTGAGAGTCAGAGAACCAGCTCTTAGGTTACACCAAAGCAGGACTGTCAAGCAGTTATACCCTAAAGAGACATTTGTGTCCTTTCGTCTGGCTTCAAACGATTGAACTGTAGACCCCAAGAAACTGAAATTGAAAAGGAATTCGCTGGGGCAAGGAAAAGGCTGAAGCACTGTGCCTGATATAGGGACAGCATGTCTTCCAGAAAAAAATTACAGAGGCCAAAGACAATGCAGATCACCTTGCAGAAGATAATGGAACATAGACAATGATGATGGCCAGAACCACACTTTGACCAGGACTGCTTAGTTATACAAAATTTAAACCCGAACCTCATGCCAGGTCCCCAAAGATGAACTGGAGGGCCCTGGATGTCTTTGTTCTTCTCAATGTGGACACAGTGACTAACTGTACCCCCTGCATATTGCACTATATTTATATGTCTCTTTAGCTGGTCTATTGAGGATAGGTATCCTAACCTTCTTCACTGGTGATATCAGGGCCCAGGAACTGACACCCTGACTTCAGAAACACCACCTTCTTCCTCTAATTTCAAGTAAACAGAGTATTTGCTTCCACTGTGTGGGAAGTTGGTTTTTAAAAGGTATGCCAAGAAGTCACGAAGGTGCTTAAGAAACGAATTTTGTTCACATTGCTTCGACTCAGCATATGTGGCTCTACCTACCTCCTCTCTACACAGCTGGTCACATTAGCTGCTTGCCCCTTGTTTCTAAATGATTTTTAGGTTTCAACCTTATTACTTATTTATTATTCAGAATTCAGAAGATGAATGAGTGCAAAGATCAGAGAAAATACTTTTCCTACAACCCCCCCCCCCCCCCTTGATACACCAAAAGCTTGGTTTTGCTGCTAGTGACCAACACAGGTTCAGAATACAAGAAAGGAAAGCAAGGGCATTCGGCTAGGGGAGGAGCTTGGCTCTCCAACCTTGTCAGCTACCCTCAACAGTGGTATTCTGCTCAGCTCAGAAAGAAGTGGAGATGTATTAAGGAGCACAAAAATTGTCTAGAAGCGTGTGCATCTGCGTGTCTGCTGGGCCTGGGGGAAGGGTTTGTCAGCTGAAGTTCCAGGGAGCCAGAAGTCGGAAAGGTAAGAGGTGTGTAAAATCTGCCTTTCAATGGGGGCGGAGGAAGATACTGCCACTGATGGTCCCAGAGGGTGAATCCCGCAGGCGTTCTATGCGATTCTCCACAGCAAGCCACATTTCGAGAGCAAAAACAACTCTAGGCGGCTGGGTTTCGACGGTTGGGGGGGGGATATTTGTTCTTTGCTCCACAGATGGGAAAAATCAGCGCCTGGCAGCTGCTGATTGGTGGAAAAGAAAATGGTGATAGTGGAGTGGGAAAGAGGATTTGCTGAGACTCCCCTTGCTTCTCGACCTGTAACTCTTCCTTAGTCGGCTCCTCTCCACACTCACAACCCTTTTAGGTCCCTGCAGGCTCAAAGCAAATGGAAATCTCTGACTGTATGAACAAAAGCAACCCAAAGGGTGTGTACTCTCTCCCCAGGGCCTGGCTAGGCACACAGGCAGTCTCAGGCTATCCAGCCCTCGGTGCCAGCGTCCCAGCACGTCCCCGGAGGAGGGGTCGCCGAGTGGAACCTGGAACAGGCGGAGGCAGGGAAGGAGTGGGGGATGGGCAAGAGAGACAGCAATCCAAGTTCAACCCTTATAGAGCCAGGGTCCCTGAACTCGAGGTGAAGCTCAGACCATCCTCTCTTCCCTCCTCCTGGGGAGCGTGCTCCTGGTACCCGCAGCCCTCACGCATCTCCATCCCATCCCTCCCCAGGAAAGGGGCGAAAGCACGAGGCAGGCGAGGGGCGGGGAGAGGCGCTGACAAATCAGCTGCGGGGGCGACGTGAAGGAGCCGGGAGCCAGAGCGCCGAGCAGCAGACGGCAAGAGACCAGCAGGTGCTGCCCCTGTCGCTGCCCCTCCGCCCAGCGTCTTCCTTCCCACTGCCATTGAAATAAGATCAGGGGGAAAGAGGAGGAATTGAAATTCTGCCGAAACCAAGGGCGCCGGTAAGTACCTGTAGATTACAGCCGCTCTGGGCACCCCGGAAAGCCCTGGCTAAGAGGAGTCTGGGTGCCTGGAGATCAACTGAGGCTACTTCGGCGGTGGGAACAAGGCTAGTGCGTAGAAAGTACATTACTTGGCTTTCCTCCCGCTGGAGACGTGCCCTTCCATCCTCCCAAAGCCCGAGGGAAACGCCAGGCTGCCTGTGGCACCTGCTTTTTCAAGCGGAAACGCTAGGGTGTTTCTTGTTGGGTGCTGGGGACTGGAAGCTGGGTGCTGGGCGTTGAAAGAAACGTGATCATCCAACTTTCTTCCCCCACCCCGAGCGCGTTCCAGCTTTTATTTGTTGAATAAGGAGGCTGCCTTTGGCCAGTGATTAATAGACGTGCCAAGGACACTTGGCAACAGGTGATAAGGGGTTAATGAGCACCGGGTGCAGGGTGATCCAGCATCTTTACAGTTGAGGAAAGTGCCCCTAGGTTGAGTGACGCTGAAGTGAGACTGCTCAAGTGTACGGACAGCGCCTGCAGATAGCAGATAGCAGACTGGCGAGCTTGTGGTGGGAGGAAGGTCTTGCTAGATTAGAAAACCTGGACCACTGCCAGTTGGCCTGCTGTTCCCTTCATCCTGAAGTGAGCAGTCCCCATTCCTCTCATCACCAAAGACTAACCACTTCCTAACCCCGCTCTGGGTCCTTTCTACTCTTGCCCACCCCCCAACCCCGCGCCCCCAACTTCAGCTCTTCTCCCCTATTCGTTTTCTAGATAGGCTTTATATTTAGAATGTCGCCTTTGGACCACAGGATCTTGATGGGGCAGAGGGCATCCATCTTTCCATGTAACTCCACTTCTCAACTGATGTAACACCTGCCAGGTGATCCCATCTGGATCCATCCCATCCTTCAGTGGCTTGACTTTTCCTCAATTGAGTGAAAAAGCAGAGAGACAAGCAACACCATGCCCAGTCCTACAAGTAAACAAACAAACAAACAAATAAATAAAAAACTAAAACTCAAAAATTATAAAACGAGTGTACAGTTACACAGGGATGAGGTGGTCCCTATTAATTTTCTAGCTGTTTCTTTCTCGGTTTTTATTCTTTCCACTCTAGCTGCTTTAATCTTGTTTTCTTTTACCCAAATTCTCTAATTCAGAATGTATTGTGTATTTTCTAGTGTGGAAGAAAATACATCTTTAGCCATGGATGTGTTCATGAAAGGACTTTCCAAGGCCAAGGAAGGAGTTGTGGCTGCTGCTGAAAAAACCAAGCAGGGTGTGGCAGAAGCAGCAGGAAAGACAAAAGAGGGAGTCCTCTATGTAGGTAGGTAGTGACACTCTGACTGATGAGTTGCGAAGGCTGATAACTCAGTGCTGGTGTGCGATGTCGGATTCGTGTGCATCCCTGCTCCTCAGGAGAGTGACAGGTTTGTGGAGGTGAGAGAGTGTGAACCTGCCGCTGCGCTCAGAAACAAATGGGAACAATGTTTTCTTCACTCAGAAAACTTATTTTGTTACTTAGGGTTTTTATTTCAGTTTTCAATGTTTATGTGTGTGATTACACTGGAATATTTAAAACTGACAACCTGTGAAAAATAACTAAGAATATGCTTTTTAATCAAACCCATTTATGACGCCAAGCATGGTGGTACATGCCTGCACTTCCAACACTGTGGAAGTGGAGACCTAAGGTTCAGGAATTAAGGGTCAACTTCAGTTACAGAGTAAAGTCAGAGTCAGTCTGGTTTATGTGAAATCCCATAGCAAAATGAGCCCCAAACACTCATGGGAACTTGGCTCCTTTCATTATCACTATAGATAATACTTGCTAATTGTAATGAATTGTAATTTTTAATGTAAGACTTTAGTATGATTGCATTTAATATCTGTAAAAATATACCTACTTTGGACCCCCAAGTAGGAAAAAAAAGCAGTTGTTTCCAGTGGATCTCCTTTAGAGACCACTTGGTCAGTGTGGACACAGAAACCCAAGGAACCTCAGAAGTGTTTGTGTGGTCACATGCCAGATGATGCATGCACGGAACAATAAATGGTTGCTATTTGGTGCCACTTGTGCCTAAGTGTACACCTTCACAGCAGAGGTCACACTCTTTCTGTGTCTTTCCATGTGTTCAATTGGGTGCAGTCTTACAGAGCACTTTCAATACTTTGGTGGAAGGAAATGACACACACATACACACATTCATCTGCAACAGGGACGCAGGCATGCACAGGAGCACAGATGCATGACTCTCTTTGCTTCTCTGAGCTTTACCACCTTCTTTCGAGGCTCTACTCTTGGTAGAAGGTCCACAGTAGACATTCAAATGGAGATGGAACAGGCCAGGTGGCAGATACGGCAGAGATGCTACATACACCAGGAAGTGTGGAGAGACAGAAGTTGTGCTAAGTCTCCAAGAGTTCAGTGGGAAAATTACCCTTGGAAACATTTGTATAAATGCTTCTAATCAAGTTCCCAGCAGATCTCCTTCATTCATTCTTTATAGTTTATTTTTATGTTGACTTAACTCTTTTCTACCTCGAAGCATCCTTTCAGAAAGTTGTGAAATGAGCAATATAAGAGAAAAGTATAAGTGAGTTAAGTGCTTCTTTTGTGAAGTATAATGTTTTAGGTAGAATCCAGAATATAAAAATCACTCATTTATAGATTTTGGGGGGCCTTAAGTCTTTCACGTTCTGCAATTATGGGCTCATGACTAAGTTTTTTTTTAACTTCAGTTATTTAATAAATATATCTTTCTAAGTTTCTTTATTTTTTTTCTTTTTTCCTTTTTTTCTGAGACAGGATTTTTCTTTTTAGCTCTGGTTGTCATGAAACTCACTATATAGACTAGGCTTGCCTTGAACTCACAGAGATCCACCTGCCTCCGTCTTCCAAGTGTTGAGATTAAAGGCATGTGATATCACCTTCAGGCTAGACCACAAATTTCAGGCAAATCTGGAAGTTATTGAATATTAATTTATTACTATTTCTAGATAATAAACAGATTTTATCAAGTAGAACACTTATGTGTTTTATTGTTAATTGTGATTTGGGGCAAATAAAATGATTGCGTTATTCAAAGAATTGTTTTGTTATTCACTGCAAGGCAATTATATTAAAAAGTGTAGTTTTTCAATATGTTCAATCTTATTAAAATTGCCCATGTCTGTTATTATATTTTGTTTTTATATTTAATACATGTATAATTAATAATTCTCTGATTATGTTCTGGAGTCCAATTAAAAGCTAAGCACAAGTTGAATTTAGGATCAAAAGTGAGGTACAAAGATAAAAATCATATTTCAGATTTTTGTCAACTTTTGTTACTGTTCACACTTATTTTGGCAAATCTGTCTCAGATAGCCAGCTCTACTGTTTAAGTGTGAAAATCACCACAGGCAGTAAGCAGTGTGGCTGCTGCAGTTTGTTATTAAAACAGTAAGCTGGAGTGAACTCAGGCTACAGAGATGTGAAAGGAAATCGGGTTATGGACTTACTATCATACCAACATAAACTTAATCCAAGCTACATCACTGCTACCTTTAGGATCTTGAAGAGGTTCTTTAATGTCTTTGGACTTCCTTCCTTTTCCCACAAACAGACAGTTTATAAAAATGCAATTACTTTGCAGAGCTTTTGTGGAAATGTGGAACTGAGTACACTTTCATATTTAGGAACTCAACAATTACTTTGATAGCATGATTTCTTCTTCAATATATAAAATTATTATCAATAATTAGCCCGAAAAATTGGAAACAGCCTGGACTGTTGCTTTGGCTCAGTGACTCAGTGCTTGTCTGTGTGCAAGCAGCACTGGGTTTGATCCTAGAAAACCAGAGGATTAAAAAAAAAAAAAAGATTAGAAGTAATCAAAGAAAAAATTTAAATTTCACTTCTGGCTGAAAAAGCTTGGCAGGAGCATAATCTCATTCCCGTATATCAGATGCTTTAGACACCTGTTTTCTTGCTGTTACAATTTGCTGTTACTATTTGTATTATTTGCATAAAAATTTCAATTAGCATATGTTAGTTACATAAATAAAAGTGTCAGTGGCATGACAAATAATTGGAAATTGAGATTAAAGTCAAAATGTTTTCTTCACATAATGCTAGTTTTATAGTATTAAGTTGAAGAAAATCACCTTCAAATTCTGTGTCACTGTTTGCTGAGCCACACTTCCCACTCTCACATGTGGGACTTATTGCTTGTGTTTAGAGAGTGAGCGTAGGAAACAATGTTACAGTGGTGTTCTCACAGCCCTCGCCAGTCTGCAGCCTTGTGATTTCCCAAAAAGCAAGACAGGGTTGGGGGCAGAGCACCTCAGCTCGGAGAAGCCATGTTGTCTCCCAGCTTTCATATCTTGCTTCTTATTTGCCACTGGAACCAACTTTTTAGCTAGACATTATTACTTCGATGTCATTTGTAAATGGAAGGGAAATTATCATTTATTACTTAACTGATAATTATGAAAACAAAGATGAGGTATTGTTTTGAGATACAGCAACTTCATCAAGACCGTCATTTGTCTTCCATTAAAAAGGCATTCCATGGTTTATCAAATGTCTAATTGTCCCTGCTGCTGAGGCAGAGGAGACAGACCAGGGATCAGCAGTGAGCATTTCTTTCCATTAGTCATGGTCTGAATGGTTGTAGGGAGTGAAGAAAAGGGATTCAGAAGAAAGGCATTCTCTCACACAAGCCCTTCAACTACTTGTTGTGCAGTATATTTAAATTCCAGTTGTGACTTTAATAGCACTTGTCCCAAACAACACAATTTAAATATCTGTTACTGCAATGCATAAATTAAGAGCAATTATGCAAGGTATGATCTTTGCTGCTAGCTCTTCACCCTCAAAATCATCACACAAATAACCCATTATAATTGATGACTAAGTTAAACCACTACTTTGGGAATTTGTTGGTGAGCTGCCACTCTCCATCTGTTACACAATTCTCACAAACAGCAACACCTGTGGGTGTGTTGTCTCTTGTCTCCGGCGGCGATGAGTCCGTGTGGTATTTTGCAGAATTGCATTCCAGAACGAGAAGGCTGACCAGCTGAGGTGAGGGCACATCGAGGCAGTAAGATGAAAAATGCTGCGAGTAAATGCTTGGTGGAAGAAACAGTTGACTATTCAGAGTGCAAAAATGTACGACTGAATTTTAAATAATTTAGGAAATAGCAATTACCTCATAGACTTGTTAGTGTTTGCCAATTTGACACCGAGTACAGCGCAGATGTGGTCTTTACTGTCTTCCTAGATAGTAAACATGCAGCTAAATATCTGGAAATGAATGTATAAACTTACACTGAGGATGTGAAGTATCGGAAGCCATTACCTCAGAGGAAGTAATGCCATCTCAACCCCATGCTAAAGGAACTATCAGGGACAGCTCATAACATGGAGAGTTGTGGAGGTTTAATGAGAATGCTATCCAGAGGTTCATGAACTTGTTTCCCCGCGAGCAGAACTAGGGAAGGTGTATGAGGTGTGGACTTGTTGGAGAAGGTGTGTCACAGGGGTAGGCTATTACGCTTCAAAAGCCACCCATCATTCCCAATGTGCTCTTGGTCTGCTGATTTTGGATCAAGATGCAAACTCCCAGTTGTTCCTGTTGCCCTGCTTTCCCTCTACCACTGTGGACTCTAATCTGCATAATTCTATAGGACATGAAAAAGATACCTACCTGAGAAGGAATATGCAATGAGAAGAAGACAAGCTCTGTTAGAAATACTTCATATGTTATTTTTGCAAAAAAATAAAAATGTTAATCTACAAAATGTAAGATCAATATTAGCTCTAATAGTTTATGATTTCTCAACAAACTTATAAATGAGTCAGAATGCTTAACAGTTTGAATAATAGCCCCGAGTCTTCCCCTGCCTAAGCAGGTTACCCTTCCATTATTTGGTTCTGTACAGTGACCCAGCTCTACAGTGCCTTGCACAGTGAGCAGTGCCTGTGCATATATACAGACAACACACATGTAAAACACTGGAGCGTGCCCATTCATGCCAGCTCGTGTGGCCTTGACTCTGCTTCTTCTAGTGTGGTGTTCTGCCTTGTGCCTTCAGCTTCAGCTCCTCCTTCTTCAGTGCTGTGTGTGTAAGAAGCAGAACTCTCACCAAGTCTGCATCCTGCATTAAACACAGTGCTCGGGGGCCTTCTGTGAACTATTTCCTGGATACTTTTACTAAGATAATGATGCAGTTTTTTTTTTTTTAATGAAGTGAATGTTGAAACATGGACTCTGTTCTGGGCAGTCTTTATTTTCAAAATGAAAGTTCCTAAATATGTTTTTTTTAAAAGTAGGGCATTGAATGAACTCTTTTTAAAAATATAATTTTAAATATATATGCAAATTTCACTTAAGGCTGCGATTATATATGTTCAAAAACATTTTCCAAGTGCCTTAGCATACTTCTGTACATGTCCTTAGATCTAATTGATCATATTATTAGGCGGTAGATAATGAACATCTGAAGTTTAAACAATTTTGGAGCTAGAAATCTTATACTTGGTAATGTTTGTCAACTTTATAGGAAATAGAGGTAAGTGAGAAGAGGAACTATCACTGGAGGAATTGCCTACATGAGATTGATCTGTGGGAATTTTTGCAAGTTTTTTTTTTTTCATGGTTGCTAACTGATGCAGGAGGGCCCACCCCATCCATTGTGAGTGGCACCACCCCTGGGCAGGTGGTCCTGGGTGCTATAAGAAAACAGGCACGGAGAGCAAGCCAGTAAGCAGTGTTCCCCAAGGCCTCTTCATCAGCTCCTGTCTCCAGTCCTGCCATGCTGGAGTTCCCACTTTGGTTTCCCAAGATGATACCCTTCTAAACTGCAAGCTGAAATAAACCCGCTTTCCAACAAGTTGCATTTGGTCATAGTATTTATTATAAAACAGAAAAATTTGATTTGTAATTCAATGATGTACAGGGAATAATGAAGTTCATTACAAATGTCGATATCTGTACTTTGTATTTATTGTGCACTTAGCCTCTAGGAAGCTATGTATATGATACGAGTTTGTTCTAGTTTTTTTCTACTTATTTCCTGTATACTTAACAAGATTTTTTTTCTAAATAGTGAATTTTTAAAACACAAACTGTTAAATTTCTTTCCATACACAAACCTAAATCTCTTTCAGTTTATATGTCTCCATTTCCTTTTATCCTTCACATTCTTCTGTGTGTGAATAGGATTATGGTAGTTAATGTTCCTCTCTCTTCCTTTTTATTCTTTTCTTCATTTTCTTGTTAATATTGGGGATCAAATCCAGGGCCTTGCACATCTGAAAACATTGCTGTACCAAGAACTATGTCTTCAGCCCTATAACTTCCACTTAAGATTTGTATTGTGTGTGTGTGTGTGTGTGTGTGTGTATTTAAAACTGTGGATATTAATTGCGCAAAATGAATGGTTTCATTATGATCTTCTCATACATGCATTTCTTATATACACCCTTCTATTGTTCAGTTTTTTTATTGTTTGTAGAGATGATCCTTTTCAAATTCCATTGTGATTACTCATTGTTCATGATACTGTTGCATAAGAACATTTTAATGTAAGTATTTAACATATGATTGTTCACAATTCTTGTATTCACTTTGATCATGTTTCCCCATTAGTCTATGCTTCTTTCTCTCCACATCTTTAGTAGTGCCCTCTTACTTTTGTGTCCATTTTAAAAACCCATTCCATAATGCACATATGAGAGAAAAAATGATGCCATATTTATCTTTGTGAGCTGGCTCATTGCACTTACCATGATGACCCATCCATTTTCATACACATATTAATTTTATTTTTCATTATGATTGAGTAAATTAAGAAGTTAAGTACGGGGAGAATTCTGAAAAAAATTATAAATGAAATTTCCAACCATGCTACTTCTGTGTAAACCCAGAGTCAGCATGTAAAAATGATATATTGCATACCCATTCTTCTTTGACCACTCAACCACAGCCCAATTTGGAATCAGTCCAGTTACTCACAAATGGATGAATGGGAGAAGAGCCTGGAATATATCAAAACCAGAGTTTTTAAAGTGAGTCTCAAATCTACAAAAGCCATATAACTCTAAAGGTATAAATTATATTGAAAAACTCAACCTTAGAGAGGTCATGATTAAAGTGCTTTATTGACTTACTTTTAGTAATATATGCAATAATTATTTGTATAGTAATGGCTAAGACGTAGGTGAGGGTTTATCTTCCATACAGTTTGATTGTGCCATAACATGCTCTTACTTAATATTAGATAAATCACTTAATTATGACTTTTCTTATGTATGAAATGGACGCTGAATGACTCCTTCAAAGTTTAGGTGTGGTGAAGCCGGACCAGAGGTTGGGCAGACATTGGCACCTTCTTCCCTTCTACTTGTCTGTTGAAGCTCGTCCAGTTTCCATTCTGTTGTGCTTTTACAGCATCCGCAGGTCTGCACATAGAGTCTTTCTAAGTCCTGTGAATTTTCACCTTTCCCTTTTATAAGCAAGGGTTAGATAAAAAGTCATTATGCTTTGTGAAAATCTTTTTTCTTTTTTTTGAAGATACATGTCTTTTTACCTGATACATAAAGACACAAAATGTTTACCTATCAGTGAGACCCCTTGTGATGTTTCTTACATGTTTATATTGTGAGATCAGATTACATATCTCTGTCACCTTAAATATGTCAGATCTTGCTGGGTGTGGTGACATACACCTTTAATCCCTGCACTAGGGAGGCAGAGGCAGGCAAATCTCTGAGTTCAAGGCCAGCCTGTTCTACAGAGTTGTCTTCCAGGACAGCTAGGGCTGTGCAGAGAAATCCATGAAAAAATAAAGAACAAACAAAACACTTATGAGATCTTTAAGACAAGCACCGTTAAAGTCTCTTGTACTGTTTTGAATTACCCCATACCCTGATGCTGTGTGTGATCACCCCACTGGAATAGCACAGAGTTGCATACTGCTGACTAAACTCTCTGCCCATTAATCATGCCCTCCGGTCTTCCCTCCTGCACTCACCTGGAGAGGCCTCTGCTGGCTTTCATGTGTTCTGGTGGCTGAATCTCCCCAGTTTAATGAGTTTTGTGAGTGTTTGGTTTTGCTTGTCCTTTGAGGTTGTCTTTGTACATGAACATCAAAATACTGAGATGGTTTAATTGGCTGACTGAAAATCCAAGGACAGTTTAAGCCTTATGCATTCAATTTCTTTGTTTTAGGTTCCAAAACTAAGGAAGGAGTGGTTCATGGTGTGACCACAGGTAAGTTGCATTGGTTTTTTGTCCTGGGGTGATATCTAAAATTTCCTGTAGGTCAATTGCATCTTATGCTTATGGTTCAAAATGTAGCTGTCAAAACCACTGTCTACAGAGGAACACTGGTCAGTTTACTTTTTATATGCCTATTTTTAAATTTGTTTTGCTTTGCTGAGACTACAATCCACAGCCCCAGGGAAGCTATGAAACAAAGAGGACCCTGAGAGGGCCACATGGACCCTGGGAAGAGGAATTAGATGAGACCTCCTGGGTAAATTGGGGGCAAGGGAAGGTGGTAAAGGAGGGGGGATGGGATTTAGAACACGAGGGAAAAGGATGGCTGAGTAGGGAGAGGGATTGAGTGGGAGAGTAATGAAAGAAATGTCTTGATAAGGGAAGCCATTATGGGGTTAAGGAGAAACCTAGTGTTATGAAAATTCTCATGAATCCACAAGGATGACCCCAGTTAGGACTTGTAGCAATAGTGGAGAGGGTGCCTGAACTGGTCTTCCCTGTAATCAGATTGGTGAATACCCCAACTATCATTATAGAGTATGTATCCAGTAACTGATGGAACCAGATGCAGAGATCCACAGCCAGGCACCAGGCCGAGTTCCAGGAATCCAGTCCACTTTTGTTTAATTTTTATTGTTGTGTGACTTTCTGCTAGAGTTCTATCTTTCCTTGGCGTAATTTTCTCATCTGTGAAAGACCTTGAAAACAGAAAGCAAATGCATTGCATTACATAGGGACAGCTTGTGATTTCCATTGGCCCTTTCCTGAGTGAGATTTGTCAGTCAGGGAAGAAAAGAGCTTCATCCCTTTTTGCACAACCTTCTGATAAAGAGCGAGGCTGCACAAGTAAAATTGAAGCCCAGGAACACAGACAGGTTCAAAGCTCACAGTGCTGACACCTTCTCTCTCCTATTGGCCAACAGGAAGTGTAGATAGTGAGACAAATAAATAGACTGCTTGGTTTCGGGAGGCTGAAAGAAAGACAAACGTCAGCGCAAATATAATAAGACATAGAGATTAGACAGGCGGAGAGTGTCATGAAGAGGCCCACTCTAGAGTCGTGGTGTTCTGGTTTTGGTAGTTGAGCGAGAAGCAATGTGGTTTACAACACAGGTAGCAAGGTGAGGTTCAGAATCTTCTGTGATGACAGGCTGCAGAGCTTTCTGTTGGCAAGTGTGGAACTTTTTAGTGTTCCTCTAAATAGCAGAATGTAGGACATGAGTTTTTAATGCTGCGTAGAAAGAGAGTGGGAGCAAGGGAAGGAGAGAAGGGGTGTTTATACAATAAGCAATATTTTACAAATATTTTCTAAAGAATAATAGCAAGTTTGCATTTCCATAGTTTAATAGTGCCCAAAAATTATAATACTGTATTTTTCTATTTCTTTAGTCTATTAAAGAATTTGAGATATCCCACAGTAAATAAACACACATAATATGGTATAACCCAAGGATCTTGGAAGCTTCACTACTGAAGCTTCTTCTCAGTACTTACTATATCAAATGGATCTAGTGTTTCACAAAACACTATGAGAGACTCTGTTAGGCAGCAAAGACACAAGGATGTGTCTGCAGCAATATGAATTACCGTTCTACTACTTAAGTACCCTGGCAGTAGTAAAACATCAAATGCACTGTCACAATTAGACTGGCGATGAATAGATGCATCGTCAAAAAGATGCCACAGTAAGAACCATTCCCCCATTGCCTATAAATAAAATGCTTAATTTATGAAGTAATATTATTTAATATTAAGCACTAATTTCAGTTACAGGGACAAATGTCTCTGGCAACCACTTCAATATGAGAATAGAGGGAGAGTTGGTGGTTTATTGTGCAGGGTATGAAGTGCCCATTTCAGGTGCACTATACTGGTTCAGTGATATTTCCATTATTGTTAGTAATGCTTACATAAGAAGAAAGAGACTCCCCTGCAGCTTGCACCCTTACCTACCTCTGTTGAAGTTTCCCCAAGACCCCCACCATAGATTTTCAGCAGGAATATAAACCAAGAAACTTCGGTGGTACTTTTCTACTTATCAAATCCAAGGAAAAGAAAATCCCTCAGTCAGATAATCCTTCAATATAAATGTAGAAAACATCTTAAATTCTACCGTTTTGATTTCATGATATTGTTTCAGTTGTCAGTGTATGTGTCATGTGGCAGGGATATAAGAATACATTTCATTAGATTTATTGAAAGACATCTTTGAAGTTGTTTCAGAATAAACTGTGGGGCTGCAAAACGAGCTCAGCAACTGGGAGCACTGGCTGTGATTGCAGAGGATCTGGTGTGCTTCCCAGCTCCCACTTGACATCTTGTAAGCATCTCTCACTCTAGTACTTGGGGAACTTAATCTTCTCTTGGCCTCCAAGGACCCTGCATAGATGGAGTCCACACACATATATATACACACACAAAGACTTGTGCACATAAAAAAGTACAAAAATTTTGTAAAAACTTAAAAATGATGATAAACCTTATTTATATAACTATAGTGTGAAGTTTCATGAATATTTTATTTAATTTTTCACTTTATTATTGTATGTATAATAACTTTATAATTAAAGTTTTACTTTTAGCAACTAAATAATATATAAATCTAATTATTAAAATTAATTTGGGCATTAAGTTTGGCATTAAGTTCCTTTTTGGTAAATTAAAAATTGCTTGTTAAATATCTGCCAATGCATTATATAAGGAAAAAACAAGACAGCTGTGCCCATGATTTTAAAGAGCTTAAATCATGGAGACAAATGTAGGTAGGCATATGGTAAATTTTGATAACATTCTCAGTGTTTGCCACTGAGATATAGCCAGAAATCTATGGGGCCATGGAGAAAGAAGGAGTCTTTTGCAGGTCTTTAACAGGCTATGACAGTTGAGTGGATTAAAACAGAGAAACTGAGTGGACAAGGGCTTCTTATCAGATGGAATTCTACTTAGCAATTAGACAAGACTGACACATTGGGATAAACACAAGTCGGTTTGAATTCTACCATATCCGTGATTGGGAGGTGTGCTGGCTGGTTTCATGTGTCAACTTGACACAAGCTAGAGAAGTCAGAGAGGAAGGAGCCTCAGCTTAGTGATCAATAAGAGAGGGCCCAGCCCTCTTTCTTACCATGGGGCCTGGTAAGAAAGCAGCGTAAGCAACCCTGAAGAAGCAAGCCAGTAAGCAGTACCCCCTCCCCATCATGGCCTCTGCATCAGCTCCTGCCTCCAGGATTCTGCCATGTATGAGTTCCTGTCTTGACTTTCTTAAGTGATGAATAGCGATGGGAAGTGTAAGATGAATCAACCATTTCCTACCCATCTTGTTTTATGGCCATGGTGTTTCACTGCAGCAATGAAAACACTAAGACAGTAGCTAAATCTCTTGATCCTGATTATAAGGTCTTTAGCCACAAAATAAATGTCATTTATTGAATGAATAAAGCACAAGAAAGTTTGTCTCCCTTTTTACTTTAAGCAGTGTCAGTGAGTAAACTGTAGACCTTAAAGGCAAAATATAGTCCTACAGATATTTATATTTTTAACTTTTTAATCACATATAGTATCACTAATATATGTTGTCATTTTATAATATTGTTTATTGTTATGATAAACCATTAAAATGGGAATCCTGTATAATTTGCACTTACTGTACAATTTTTGTGTTTTAAAAACATGTTAAATTTATATTTATATAAAGAAGTGTGCACAAAATGTAAAGTTTATGGCTGGCAGAAAATAAGAATATGTAAAAAGACAAAAACTATTTTGCTTTGCTTTGAGTTGTTTTAACAAGAAAGTGTTAATCTCAAGCAAAACTTTTTGTCATATTCTTGGAAGAAAAATAACAACTTGAAACAGAATTCACTATGATTCCAGTGATGTTCAAGAAGCACACAGAATGACAGGGAGCTCATAGGCAGACTTACAGAGCTCAGACCTAAAAGGCAGCTATAGAGTCGCTTATGTGGATTCTGGTGCAGTGTGCATGACCTTCAGGCTTCCTTTCTCTGCCTGGTCTGAGGGATAAGCCCTGTGCCTTTACAAATAATGTAGCTTCAATTACAGAACGTGTCCCTTGTAAATTAATTTTCTTTGCCCACTTTATTGGGTTACTGGTCCTTCTGGCTAATGACTGAAATCTGTATAGTTCAGTAGTCATGTGAATGGCTAATGTGCTTTGACTCCTCAGATTATGAGGATCCAAGCTTCTCAGAGAGTGTGAAGAAAAACATGTGTTATTTGCTTAGGAGAAAAAAAAAACACATGGAGCATATGAACTCAAACACCTACCGCTGAAATTTGGCACAAAAGCAAAAGAAAAAAATGTAGAGTAAATGAAAGGCAGACATGACATCCATGTTGATAAGAGCTGGGAGATTTCAGGGTTTATAGATATAAGATGTAGAGGTTCAGGTACAGACAGGTTCCTTTACTTATTTGTTTTACTTAGCATCATTTTAGAAGTGGAATCTCTTGCCTTTCACTTTTTGCACAGAACTATGGAGTGAACAAAAACACATTTTTTTAAAAAATTTTGAGTTCTGATTATATATATATATATATGAGTTCATATATATATGTATATATATCTGACATATATATATATACACACACATATGTGTGTGTATGTATACATGAAAGTGGTAAAGACAATTAGGCATCCTTCTAAGATGCCACAAAGAATTTTTTATATGAAAATAAGTCTCTGCTTATAAATACCTTCTAAACTATTTGTAGAATCTTCTCTGAATTTTAACTTGTCTAAAAAACACATTAAACAGCCATAATATAAGTATGTTCTGTAAATCTCTTTATTTTCACACTTACTAAAATTCTAGCTTCTCTGTTTCCATTAAAGTGGCTGAAATTTGTTTGACTGCAGTGATGGTTCAGTGTTGAGGAGCACTTGATACTCTTCCATAGGATTAGAATTATGTTCTCAGCATCCTGCTGGGAAGCTTTTATCTTCCTGTAAGGCCAGCTCCAGGGATCTGACACCACCTTCTGGCATTCTTGTGCACTTGCACACATGTGCACATACCTGCCTCCACCAGACACATACACATAATGTTTTAAAAAATATTCTTTTAAAAGAACCATCATTTTCCTCTACCGTGTCCTCACCTATCACCTATCTCCAAAACGTACAAGGAGCATGTATGAGCACTTAGGGTCTCCTTATCAGAACTGCTTAAGGAAACACTTACTTTAGATGTTAACTGTTTTAGATTTGGGAATAAGTGCATACCTATAATGATATGTCTTGGCAATGGGACCCAGGTCTAAACGTAAAATTCACCTTGTACGTATTGTCTGAAGGCAATTTCATACTCTATTTTAGAATAATTCGGAGCATATATCAAAGTTCATGGTGTGAAATTTTCTACTAGTATTAAATTGGGCCTGCTCAAAAGTTAAGGATTTAGGAACATTTTCAAAGTAATAATATTGGATTGTGAGATGCGTTTCCTCAGAGGGATAATGGAAGTGAACTTGGTAAATGAGATCAAAGCATTGGCATTGGAAATGAATATGACTGAGATGTTTGGCCTGTCAGCTTGACACTGTACCAGGTGCATGGTTTTCTGTCCACTTGCCTCAATGCAAACCAAACTTTGTTTGCATCTTGTTACAACTAAATGCTCCGAATTTTCTAAGCTGTGCATAATTATAGCTCAGATTCAGTCTTTGGCTAAAACAGGTCACTTCTACCTCGGTGTCTTGTTCTTCAACTCTTGTTGCCTATGGTGTATGTGTCTATGTCTGTTGACAGCTGATGGGAGGGTAGTTATTTGAAGTCTTTAAATTAAATTAATTATCTTTGTTGTTGCAATCTATTTCAGGATGTACATACACTTACTAAAACATAAAACTAAAAGTTTAAAACTTTTAATATGGTGTTTCTCTTGATTTTCATAAGTGGCTGAGAAGACCAAAGAGCAAGTGACCAATGTTGGAGGGGCAGTGGTGACTGGTGTGACAGCAGTCGCCCAGAAGACAGTGGAAGGAGCTGGGAACATTGCTGCTGCCACTGGATTCGTCAAGAAGGACCAGATGGGCAAGGTAAGACTGCTTGTTTTATACTATCATGATAACCTTGGAATACCACTATCCTTCATATATATCAGAAAGAAGACATTGGATATGCATGGGAGGGCACTGAACTTTTATAGGGCCTTTATTTTGTCACACTGTTTACCCTGGGAAATGCCATGCACACTGCACAATATCCCTGATTGTTTTAATTTCTGGAAGAAAACGGCAGAAATGAACAGTATCGTAAGTGCTAAAGTATTGGTGACATTTCAGAAAGAATGGCTGCTTTCATGTGAATGGTAGGTCTGGAATTCCTCGTTGTGAGAATAACAGTATGTTGCCATTCCTCATTCCTAAATTTCAGGGATGAAGATCTTTTATTTGATTTCTTTGTAATGACACCATCTTTTACTAAATGACATATTTGCATATCAGATATCAACTCATTACTAATACAGCTTTTGTAAACTGAGACTGAAAGTGCATACTGAACAGAGGTCATGGTTTCATATGGTGATTCCTACATTTCCAGAATTTTAAATTTGTTTCTTGATAAATGTGGGGCTTTAATGACATATTCTAAATATAGCAATGGAGTCTCTTATCAAAAAATGCACGATCACATTCATATACCAAAGGACGAAAGGAAGGCTGTCAACAGAACCTCTATTTAAAACTATTTGCTGATTTTATAATGAGGAATGTGGAATTTGTAGAGGGGAAGTGAGTGTCAAGTTCCTGCAGCCCGTTGGAGTTACCTTGATGGTCCTGGCTAGCACACATCTATCTATCTGAACTATCACTTCCCTGGTCATGGCCAATACGCAGCTTCCTCTGATTGAATTATGCAATAATGAAGTTAGTAGAAGAATTTGTTGCTTTGGATGTAGGAAGTTTGGGAAGCATGTTTCATTCCATTTCCCAGTTTGCTTGCTCTTAAAATATGCAATGTAAATCACAAATGGTTCATTAGACCACTTCACATTAACTTGGGCTTGTTTTCTACCTTTTAAAATACCAATCCTCATTTTAATATTCTAAAGAAGAAATCTACCAATGTTATAAAATGAAACATTTGCAGATATTTCTCTTTTGAGTATTGTAAGTTCTTAAAATTTCCTAGTATAAAAATGAATCCATAAACATAGAAATTGGAGTTAGAAATTGCTATAAAACCCAGTGGGTTTGGGATTAAAATTGTGGATCTTCATATTCTACTGGTCATTTGCTAGGCATGAAAGCTTGTGTTCAGTGCCTCAGACCTTTTCATCTGTAATGAGGGAATTCCACTACTTTACCAGAAAGCTGGTAAAGCCCAATTTTGCAATGAAGTTCTGAATATCTACAATAACTCAAGGATTATTCAAGTAAATCAGAAAATTATGACCATATTTTTGATGCTAAACATATCCACAGTTTAAATAAAATCTTTACATTTATTTCTAATGAAATTTGAAATATTTTATTTCATCTTTCAGATTCTAATCAGAATGATCTTCGTAAAGAGCAACAAACATTTACTTATGTTTTAACTAATTTTCAGTGACCTCATTTGCTCTATTTTTTAAAGATAATGATTATTTAATGTGTTCGAGAAACTTGGAAGAGCAGAAATTTGACCAGTGGGGCTCATAGAAGTGGATTAACCACACTGCCATTCTCTTGGTGGCCAGGATCCCTGACCTAGGCACACTGGGGAAATAGAGGTGACACACCTTGGATTTGCTTAGCATGCTTTCTGAGTGTATTTGTCTCATCGCTTTTGGGGTGATAAGAGAACAGGCATACTTACTTCTTCCCTCCCTTTCTTCTTGTTTTCTTCTCTAGAACTAAGCTATAGTCATTCATCTCTTTACCCTGTTATTTCCTAAATTCTTCTCTTTGTGATACTTCTGCTCTTTTGTATTCTACCTATTTTTAATATCAGTGGAGAGGTATGGTTTCACATAACTAAGGTGAGATGCGCCCCCATCTTAAATTAGGTACAGCTAACTAAAGAAAATTGTATTTATGGAATACAGCACAATGTTTTAGTAAGTGTATGTACAACTTGTAATGATCACAGCAACAAAGATAATTAACATAGTCAACATCTTCCGTGACTTTTCCTCTTATTGTGGTAACAGTTTATGAATACAATGCAACATTAATGACTTTTGAAGGCTGAATAGCATTTCATTTGCATACATGTGCACACACCATTTTCTGTACTCATTCGACTGCTAATTACTCTTTTGCTTGCTTACATATCTTGACTATTGTGAGTGATTTCTTTATACCTACGAGAATGATTACCAGAGTACATTGTAGTTGTGATTCAGAATTTGAGGAACTTGCATACTATTTTGATAATGGCTCAATCAGTTACCAGTTACGTTCCTAGCTGCAGGAGCTCAAGCTCCCCTGTCTTTCACATCCTCAAGATGTTTGTCATCTGTTGTTTTTTAGCTGACCAGTCTAATGGGGTCTAAGGCAATGCCATTATGGTTTGGAATTTCATTTCTTAATGGTTAGTGATGAATATTTTTCGTGTAGCCTTTGGCCATTTGTGTGTCTTCTTTGATAAATGTCTATCCAGATAATTCACTTAGGGGTGTGTATGTGTGTACTCCCACGTGCAACTGTGGTCTGTGTGGTTTTCATGTGATTTTGTATACATGCGTATGAGTGTTTATGTGGTATGCATGTGTGTATGGTGTATGTAGTGTATCTGTGGTTTGTGTGTGTGTGTTTGGTACGCAAATCCACTTTTTACAGGCATATATGGAGGCTGTAGGCTCCTGTTGGGATCTCTTTCTCAGTCAGTTCTCCCTGGATTGACCTGCCTCTGTTTCCTAGTGTTGGGTTTGCAGGTGTCCTCTGCCAAGCTGTTTTGTTCTCCATGTGGGTGTTGGTTATCTAAATTCAGGACCCCATGTTAGGGCATCAGTCATGTTACCCAGTAAGCCAACTGTCCAACTCCTTTTATTCCCTTTTTTTTCTTTTGTTAGAAATAGATCGTTTTCATACAAAGTATTCTGAATATAACTTCCCCTACCCTAACTGCTCCCAGTTGCTCCCCAACTCCCTTCCCATCCTCATCTGCACCATTTCTGTCTATCCTTAGAAAATAAACAGGTAGCTAAGGTATCATATTATAACAGATAAAACTAAAGCAAGCAGGAGGAAAAGAGTCAAAGAAAAAGCCTGAGAAATACATATGGACACAGAGGCACACACATTTGCATACACAAGAATCCCCTACTCCCTGCCAATCCCTCACAAAACAAGAAGTCATAACATATATGCAAAGACCTGTAGCATTAAGAAAATGCCCTGACACAATATTATGGGACAAAGAACCTCTAAAGATGTCACTGTGTTTGTTTTGTGTTGACCATCTGCTGCTGCGCATGGCGCCTACCCTTAACAGTGAGTTTCTCCAATGAGATTTCCTTGGAAAAAGCTAAGTTTTCATTTGCAAGTGGTTATAAACTGGAGAGCGCTTCTGGGTTGGGGTGGGGGAATGTGTTCACTTCTCCTTTTTGGTCTAGGATTTCATCTGGTGAAGACTTGTGCCAACCCTATGCATGTAACATGAGGGGCCTGACTTAATTGGGAGTTTCTGTCCTGCCTAATACCCCCAGCAGTTTAGTCCCAGAGAAAATCACACAGAGATCTCTATAAGTTATAAAGCTGATTGGCCCATTAGCTCAAGCTTCTTATTAGTTCTTGTTGCTTATATTAACCCACTATTTTGATCTAAGTTAGCCATGTGGCTCAGTACCTTGTTCAGTGGGGCAGATCACATCCTGCTGCTTCGGTGAACTGGGCAGGAGTGGGAGGAATCAGCTTCCTCCTTCCCAGAATTCTCCTGTTCTCATTGCATCACCTCTACTTCCTGTCTGGTTTTCCTGCCTATACTTCCTGCCTGGCCAATCAGCGTTTATCTAAAACATGATTGACAGATTACAGACAATTCTCCCATACCACATGGTGCCACAGGCATATGTGGGTATGTTCTGTTGTGTTTAGAAGGCCTTGTTTTTATGGGGTTCTCCATTCCCTTGGGCTCTTACACTCTTTTGTTCATTTTTAACCCAAATTATTTAATTCCTTTCTATTGATTAATTCAAGTTCATTAAAAAAAAATTAACACCTAACAGATACATGGTTCACAAACTGGTTCTTCTATTCAACAGGCTACTTCTGTATTCTGAGAGTCATCTGATTTGCAGTGGAGAAGCTGAGATTTGTGTGTTTCTGTGGTCTGTAGTGTTTTAATAGGATCCAAAAAATTATTGCTCAGACCAACATCAATAAATTTTCCTTTATGTTTTCATATATTATTTTCAAGGCTTGAATGTTGTGTCCAATTTTCCATTCTGCATATGACTGTCCACATCACTAGTGATGCTTGCTGAAAGTTTCCCAGCGCAGTTTTCACTATTTTGTGCTTTTGATGCGTTTGGCTAAGGTTGACTGATGTCCAGTCTGTGGGTTTATAGGTTCTCTGCTCTATTGCATGCATTATGTGACTGTTTTTATGCCAGTACACTATTGTTTTGTTACTCCAGTTTTTTGACAGTTTGTGAAATCTGACATTCTAATGCCTCCAGTTATGAATCTGAAGTATTGGTATGATTACTTATTGTTCAAGGTGACTTTGAACATTTAATGTCCTTTGAACATTTAATGTCATTTGACACGTCTGGGTTTAGGGCTTTTGGCTGTCTGGAAGATGTGGTATTGTAGTTGGGACCAGAGACACATCTCAGATCTAAGCTATTTTAGCCAAAGTGAATGTCTGATATTGTTGATTCTACAGATCCATGAATATAGGTTATCTTCCCATTCGCGTTTGTCTTCTCAATTTCTTTCATCAATGTTTTATAATTTTTAGTTCTCAGAGACTATAGAACCTGCATTAAATTATTTCTAAGGACTTTATTTTTGTTGATACTTTCAATGCTATTAATACTATTTAAGTGGAATTATTTTCTTTCTTAGATACCTGTAAAATTGCTTCTTAATTTTGCATATTGAGT